AGAGGATCGGGGGGTGATTAGCTGTAGAACGTTCTGAAGACTCCGTAAGGTTTCGACATATTTGATCAGATTGGATTGTAGTTGATGAAGCAGAAGGTCGCAGTGTACGCTTCATCAGCGTCGAGCCACGCTCGGCACCCCTTCCCATCATTGTGAGAAAGGAGAAAGTTGGGATGTGCAAAGCGTCAAAGTATTTCGAGACGAAAAGTTTGTTCACAGCTTCACAGCTTCACTCAGTTATTTGTTTGGAGTCTTTGGACGATGTATACTGCGTTCTTTCTGTAATTCAGAGGGATTTCATTCGCCAGGTGCTCCTCTTCTTATCCCTGCTCGCTTGTTCTTGCCAGTGGGCGGCGATGTGCAGTCGACTTTCATTTCCTGGATTCCTTTTGAGATCCATATCATTCATTACATGCAGCAACTGGAATCTGTCAACACTGCACCTTGTTTTTTTTTTGTTTTTTTTTGTATAAAGGCGCAGTCTTTGAAGCCCAACCAATTCAATTACCTGTCGAATTCAGACAGGTGGATGGCCTTTCAGGCCTTTTTTTTTTCATTATAGTATTACGGGGAACCCCGTAGCAGCAGCCACATCCATTCTCAAGCCTCCGACGAGGGAGCAGGCGGGAGCTGCACCCACAATCAAGTGCGATACCTGCTACAGCAGGTGGGCGGTACCTGCCAGGGGTCAGCCAGTAGAAGAAGGACCGAGCTTGTTCTTCGATGGGCCAGTCGCTGTGCCTCCCCTCCCCTCCCCTCCCCCTACGAACATCTGCAGTCTCTGCTCAATGCCGCTCGGGAAGACCAACGGCCTATCTCTAGGTGGACGGAACCAAGCTTGCCCAGGAAAGTACATGAGGTGAATGGGAATTGAACCCAAGACCTCCTGAATTCCACTTGCGTGCCTTACCAACTGAGCTAGGCCGCCGGATAGTGCACCTTGTTTCAGGTCCAACAGGAGAATTTTCTGTTTTTTTTTTTTCCCCCCCGAAAGAGAAGGGTGATGGCCTTGAGATATCATCTTTGGGAAAAATATATATAGAGGCTCTGAACAGGGGGAGTTGTTAGGAAGAAGATGAAAAATGAATTGATATTTTTTTCCTTTGTTTGTTTTTTTCGCTTTTGCGCTCTGATATCTATGTGACGATATATACATATATATATCATCTTTGAACTGACCGGCCCCAGCCCAGGTAATTTCAGAGTTGATTTTTCACTCATCGGGTTTGATGGAGAGTTAATTTCACTCATCTGTTTCTACTGGAATTTCAACTCCGGTCTGCATTTCAGCACTTCATCCATTTACCAACTGAGGGCATACTCGCACGCACGGGGAGTGGATGACCTTAAAATTTGAGTTGCAAAATGCCTATTTCGTTGTGCCTGACCTCCCTGTTTTGAGAAGACGGGGCTCAATGCCTGGGCCTGAGGGCCCTTTTGCGGTTCACATGCCCTCACTTCTTTTTGGGGTCCGCTTCTACCCAGGGACCGGTCCAACGTCCCCCACTTCTTTTTGGGGTCCACTTCCACCCGAGGACCGGTCCTTCCTTTTTCCAAAAGTCCCGGTTCTAGAAGAGCTAGCTGTAGTAGGTAGTCCGTAATTTTGCCAAGGACCGGTCCCCCAAATTTTTTTGCCCCCTAAGAACCCACTTTGGGTGCTGGTCGCCCGCCACCGAAAATGCGACACCTTGACACAGATGCGGAAGCACACTATACCGCAACCTAAGGGCTGCGAACACCTGAATCTGGGCTTGTTTGTGGAAAGGTGCAGAATGTCAAGATTGAACTGCTTTTCCGCATCTCTGCGTAAAACACGTCCAGATTCAGGATATTTATCCAACCCTCTTTGCTAGTGGGACCTGACCCCAGAGGTGGTCTCAAATTACCTTTTCAAATTTTTCTTTCTCCCTGAGGTATTTCAACTAATTCTTGCATGAGGAAAACAGCCCTGAGTGTTAGTTCAGTCTTGGGCAAAACAAAAAAAAACGTCTATATATTTTTGGGGGTAAGAGTGTGACTACGTGCACCTCCTGGGAGTTGCCAATGCGTCAGGGCCACGACGTGTGTGTGACCACACGGGCACCCCAAAGGAGCAAATACATGGGGTACCAAACGTCCCAGATATTTGCGACTTTAGGTCCCCGTGTCTTTTTTTTTTTTTTTTTTTTTCCCCCCCTCAAAATTCAACTTCAAATTACTCAATACTCATTCGGAGGCCGGGGTCCTCCAGGTCCCTGTGTCTGTATGCCCTGAGCTTGTTCCTGAGACAATACTTGCAATTTCTCCAGGCATCCTCTCTTGCACGTTGGCTTTCGGGACATCCGCTAAATTGGGAACGGTACGAGGATGAGTGTGACCCCTGACACGCACAAGCTGGCCCTGACATGCGCGAGCTCAGGATTTGTCCAAATTATTAAGATATTTGCAAAGGGAAACCTTCTTGCATTTTGAAAAATCCCAAGCTCACCCAGTAGGCACACCCGCGGCCATTGACATATGGACCCAAGTTCAAATCTAGATTCAGTCAGAGTTAGCAGAACAAAATCATTATGACTTACCTGCGGAGGGTTAGTCCAATGATGTCCCTTTATATATATATATATATATATATATATATATATATATATATATATATATATATATATATATATATATA